GCCCACAGAGTCAGGCAGTTGCCTGAGTAATGAACCAAAGGCTCCCAGCCCCCTTCCAGGAATCCTGTTTCACAGCTATGACCGGGAGCCAGGCCAGGGGCCCACAGCACCTGCCTCCACCACATGGAGCAGCCTTCTCTGGAGACTGTCTGCTACTTCTTACCCCATTGCCCTGGTCCCTGCTTTGTTCTGTCCAAAGGGAGGTTTTCCTGAGAGGGAGGTTCACAGGTCCCCAGAAACCCACACAATTGCATCCTTCCCACATAAATAAATAGCTGAGCCTTACAACCCGAGAAGGCTGCCTTCCAAAAAGGTATCACATTTTCACAAGTTGATCAGGTGTTTGTAAATGTTTATGTAAATGAAGAGCTTTCCATATGTAAATATGTCAGGAATGGTGTTAGGGGCTGAGAAATCACCCAGGTGGTGGCTTCCTTCCATGGTGGAGGAAAGAAAGTGGGGAGAAGGCGTAGATCCACACAGCTGTCCCCCAGGAAAGGCTGGCTTGGTTCTACTCTGAACACACTGCTCCTCCTACCCTCTGCTCACTTCCTCCCATGAATAGTCATAGGAATGCTTGAGAGAACCCATTTCACAGATTTGTCAACTGAGGCCAATAAGGAAAGGAAACAGCCCTCCCTCTGTGTCTGAGGGTTCTGAACCTACAAAATATGAGGAAAATATTGTGTCTCCACTAAACATGCACAGATTTTTTCTTGTCATGAGTACCTAAACAATGCAGTATAAAAACCATTTCCATAGCACTGACATTGTATTAGGTATTGCAAGTAACCTAGAGATGATTTAAAGTATACAGGAGAGTGTGTGTAGGTTATACATAAATATCAGGTCATTTTGCATGAGGGACTTGAACACCTGCAGATTCGTGTATCTAGTGGGGAATCCTAGAGCCAATGCTCCAGATTTCAAGGAATGGCGGTGCACACAGTCTGCCCAGTGCATGGAAAAGGATGGTGAGACCTCCGACCCTTTTAGTCAAAGCTGACCCCTGAGGAAAGGTCAGCCAGGATGCCATATCTCGCCCCTAGGCCTGCATCTCTTTTGGCCTGGGCAATAGTTACTAAAGACCACAGAAGCCTCTGGTAAGACCTAGATTAGAATCTAACCTTGATTAGAGCATTTGAGAGCTGGAAGGACTCCTCCAGCCAGCAGTGTTTCATTCATTCAGTTTTCCATCTTATGCACCTTCCACACGCCAGGCACTAGTCTAGGCACTGGGAATATGCACTAGTGATCAAAACCAACTAAAAACTCTGCTGTCATGAACACTCTGGTGTTCTAGCACAGGGAGTTGGACAACAAACTGTAAATATAATAAGAAAGTTCTATAGTTTATTAGACCATGATAAATGCTACCAAAAAAGTAGAGTAGGGTATAAGGCTGAAGCCTTAGGGGAAGAGCTGATTCAGTGGCCAGGTTAGACATTATGGTAAATGTGCCCCCCCTTTATTTTAACAGCTGCATTGGAATAAATTTTACATATTATTAAATTCATCCACTTTATGTATACAACACAATGTAGATGTAAATGTATAGAGTCGTACAACAATCATCACAATTTAATGTGAGAACAGCTCTGTAACCCTGAAACAATCCCCTTTTTGGTCCCCCTAGGCAGCCACTGGTCTGCTTCTTTCTCTATGGCTTTGCCTTTCTGGATGTATCATATCAAAAGAACCTGACAATATGTGGCCTTTTGAGTCTGGCTCCTTTCACTTACCATAATGGTTTTGAGATGTGACTATGGGGTAGCGTGTACCAGTATCTTCTTCCTATTGCTGAATACCACTTCATTCTATAGATAATACATTCTGTTTATCCATTCACAAGTTGGTAAACATTTGTAATGTGTCCAGTTTGGGACTATTATGAATAATGTTACTCTGAACACTCACAAACAAGTTTATGTGTGGAGATATATTTTCATTTCTCGTGGGTATATTTCTAGGAGTGGAATAGATAGGTCATTAGACATTTACGCTTAACTCCTTAAGAAAGGGCCAAACTGTTTTCCAAAGTGGCGGTATCATTTTCCTCCATTCCACAAGCAGTGTTTGAGCATTCTAGTTTATCTACATCCTTGTTATTGTTATTATAGCCATTCTAGTAGATTCAGAATATTATTCTATCATTCATTAATTTGCATTCCCCCAGTGACTAGTGTTTGAGCATCCTTTAATGTAATAAAACATTTGTATGTCTATTCAAATGTTTTGCTCATTGTAAAATCAAATCTTTTGCCTTAATATTGTGTTATAAGTATTCTTTATATATTCTGAATACAAGTCCTTTATCAGATACATGATATACAAATATTTTCTGTCAGTTTGTGGCTTGTTTTCATTTTCTTAATGGTGTCTTTACATGTACAAAAGCTTTCATCTTTTTTCTGTTGTGAATTGTGCCCTTGATACTATATCTAAGAACTCCACAAAATCAAGTGTTGCAAAGATTTACTCTTATTTCTTTGCAGTGGTAAAGTTTATTTGAAAATGTAAGAGTGAAGAAAGAGAAACTGGCTCTGCAGAGCAAACTTGGGCCAAGTAGAAAAGGGAAAAGCAAGATAAAAGTACACCCTGGAAGCTGGGGATGCAGCTCAGTGATGCCACGCGTGCCTGGCAAGTGCAAGGTCCTGAATTTAGTCCCTGGTTGGGGGGTAGGGGGAGTACACCCTGGAGAAAACAGAGCAGGCTATCATGATGAAAGCCACGATAGCCTATTCCTATATTTTCTTCTAGAAGTTTTACAGTTTTAGCTCTTACATTGAGTCTATGACTCATTTTAAATTAACTTTTGCATAATTTGTAAGGTAAGGGCCTAAATTCATCATTTTTACAGAAAGATAACTAGATGTCCTAGCATCATTTTTTTAAAAACTGTCCTTTCCCTCACTGAATTACCTCCATGCCTTTGTTCAAATTCAACTGACCAAAAATATAACAGTTCTAACTTATGATTTATTAATCTGTATGTCTGTTCTTGTGCCAGAACCACACTATCATAATTATTATAGATTTATGGTTAAGTCTTTAAAATAGGAACAGTGAGTCCTTCAACTTTGTTCTTTTCCAACATAGTTTCAGCTATTTTGGATCCCCTGAATTTTCATATAAATTTTGGGATGAGCTTGTCAATTTCTGCAAAATGGTTGCTAGCATTTTAATGGGAATTGCATGAAAGTTATAGATCAATTTGAGGAGAATTTTCATCTTAACAATATTGAGTCTTCCCCTCCATGAACATGGAATGTCTCTCTGCTTATTTTTAGATCTTTGATTTTCCTCAGCAATGTTTTGTAGTTTTAAGTATGTATCTTACACCTCTTTTGTCAAGTTTATTCCTAATTATTTTCTTCTGTTTGATGTTTTTGTGAATAGAATTGTTTTCTTAATTCCATTGTCAGACTGTTCATCGCTGATACGTAAAATACAGATGAATTTTACAAAGGTGCACCTCAGCTTACTATGGGGCTCTGTCCTGATATATCCCTTCATAAATTGAAGATATTTTAAGTTACACTGAAGATATAGCTCAGTGGTAGAGTGTTTCATACCATGTGCAAGGACCTAAGCCTGATCATCAACACAGAAAGAAGAAAGAGAGAGGCTGAGAGGGAGAGGGAGAGAGGCAAAGGGAAGGGAAGAGAAGGGAAAGAAAGGGAAAAGGAGAGGAGGGGAGGGGAAGGGGAGGAGAGAAGGAAGGAAGAAAAAGGAAGACAGAAAGAACCTATCAAATAGTCTCTCTTAGCAAACAGCCCCTATAGAGTGCCAGTTTTTCACCTTTGTGATCACAGCCTGGGAGCTGTGGCTCCTGCTGTTGTCATACATCACAGAGGTGTGACATGACATATTGCTTAGCCCGGGAAAAGACAGAAACTCAAAATTCAAAATATAGCTTCTACTGAATTCATAGTACTTTCACAACATTATGAGGTGAAAAAATCATAAATCAAACAACTATGGGTCAAGGATCTTCTGTATGTGGATCTTTGGATCCTATAAGCTTGCTGAACTAATTTTTCTAGGTCCAATAGATTTTGTGAATCCTGTAAGATTTTCTGCATACAGGATCATTTTGTCTGTGAATAATGATTGCTTGACTTCTTTTCCAAACTGATGTCTTTTTCCCCATACTGGGTAGAATGTGCAATTCAGTGCAATGCTGAATAGAAGTGGTGAAAGCGGACATCCTAACTTTGTTCCCAGTCTTTCAACATGAAGAAAAATGAATGTTTTTCACAGATGACAGGTAGGGAAAATTTCCATCATTTCCTACCTTGTTGAGATGTACTTTCTCTTAAATTGACACATATATAACTGTACATGCTTTGGGGGTACAGTGTGGTGCTTCCATACATGTATATGTTATACAGTGACCAAATCAGGCTAATTAAACATCCATCACAGCAACATTCGCCATTTCTTTGTGTTGAGAGCATTCAAAGTCCCCTCTTCTAGCTATTTTGAAATACATATTACATTATTGTCACCCTACTTTGTAATAGGGTATCAGAACTTATTCCTCCCATCTAAATGTAACTTTGTACATGTTGACAACTCTATTGAGTTTTATGAACAGTATTAAATGTTTTGACACCCTTTTTCTGCATCTCTTAAAATGATCATGTGGGTTTGTTCTCTATTTCTTTAATGTGGTATATTATATTTATTGATTTTCAGATATCAACCCAACCTTGAATTCCTGGGGTTTAAAAAATCTCACTTGGTCATAGCATATAATCTTTTTTATATGTTGCTGGATTCAGTTCGGTAATAATTTGTCAAGGTGTTTCCATCTATATTTATGATGAATACTGTGCTATAATTCTTTCTTCCCATGATGTCTTTTCTGGCTTTAATATCAAGGTAATAGTAGTTTTGTAGAATGAGTGACAAAACATTCCTTCTGCTTCTATCTTTGGAAGATTTTGTGAAGTATTGATACTATTTGATAGAATTCACCAGTGAAACCATCTCACCTGAGATTCTTTGTGAGAAAGTTTTCATATTAATTCAATTTCTTTACTTGATATAGGTCAATTCAGACTTTCTCTGAGAAGGTAGCATTTGAACAAAGGTGAAGAAATTAACTGTGGATATTGGAGCCAGATTCCCACCTGAAATGAAAAAGCAATCATCAAAGGGTTCTAAGGCAAGGAACAACAGGATTTAACTTATACTTTACAACAATCACCCTGGCTGCTGTGCTTAGAAGAGACTGAAAGAGAACAAGGAGGAGAACTATTAAGAGGCTCTTGTAATATGAGTGAGAGATGAGGAGACTCGGATCAGGATAGCAGCAGTGGAGGTAGGGGACAGCTAATGAGAGAAAGAGAGGAATTCAGGATGCTGAGGTTTTTGATGTGAGGACGTTTGTCCCCATAAAGTTGCACATAATTCTGAACATAAGTGTGCATTTCTGGGGAAAGATTCCACATTCTCAAAGGAATTGGCCCTCATCAAAAAGTTTAGGAATGACTAATTTTTATTTTTTTTTTTTTTTGGTAGCGGGGATCAAATTCAAGACCTTGGGCTTGCAAGGCAGGTGCTGGAACCACTGAGCTAAATCCCCAGGAATGACTAATTTAGACCAGTGGCTTAGTGAACTGAGGCTGCTATAACAAATGCATAAACTGGATAGCTTAAATAACAAACATTTATTTCTCAGGATCCCACATGGCTAGGCTCTGGTGAGAGCTTGCCTCTGGGTTATGTCCCCACAGGTTCCTTTCTATAGGCATGCACAGGCATCCTCTGACACTGCCTCTGTTAGTAAGAGCACTAATTCCATCAGGAGGGTGCATCCTCATTACCTAATCTAACCCTAATTATCTCACAAAGGCCCCACCTCCAAATATCATCATATCAGAGGTTAGGGTTTCAACACATGAATTGGGAGGACACCATTCCATAGCAACCCACGTCTTCAATTTGGGCAATTTAGGCCTCAGAAGCATTGGGGCAGTTCCCCTTGACCACTCAGCCAGCTAGCAGTGCTTTTTACATGGCACCAGGGAATTACCTAGAGGAACACATCATCAGATCCCCTCTGCCTAGACCAGTGGGTGCTCCCTACCCAGGAGCAAGAACAGCTATACAGAAATAGCTCCTCCTCTGCTTCTAGTGCCCACCTGGCTCCCAGGCCAGTGTACCCACCTCAGTGCCATGCCTCCTGCATACCTGGCTGCCCTCTTTTCCCATTACATCTCGTCCATCTGGAATCCACCCCACCCCATGAAGATCTAAGAGGAAGCCTTTCTGCAAGCACAACTTCCTTTTAACATGAGTGTCAGAAAGGCAGTAGCCTACCTGCCTAAAAGAATGCGAGCCTCGGGTTTTTATCTGTACGGCAATCTTGTCTAAACAGGTTCAGGTGGCAAGAGTGAGGGAAGAAAATAATTAAAGGGGAGGCGGGTGAAATGTTGACATTATTATTACTTAAGTACTACAAGGTTTTGGGTACCTGATTTTATACTGGTGAAACCCAACAAGGGGGAAATCTGCTTGGCTGATTAAGCAGCACACAAGCCCACCTTGCCTCCCTTCCATCTATAAATCTTATTAAACAGGTTCCATTGGCAAGACAGAAAAATAATTAAGGCAAAGCTAGGTGAAATGTTGATGTTATTACTGTAATGCAACAGCCTGTTTAGTTTCTACACCAATGAAATGCAACTGAGGGAAATCAGTTTTAAAGATTACCTTTCCGAGATGCAAATTGGAACGCCCGGAAGCTGGGCTTAGAGAAGAAAACAGCAACAAACCAGGAAACATTTCCAAGTCTGTACCAGTCTCTTAGGCCCCTTTAAGCCCAAAGTTTACCTTTTGACTGTGTTCTATTTTCTTACAAATCCTTTATTTCCTATTTATTTATTGACTAGAGACACTGCACCAAAAAGGAGAAAAGGGAGTGTGATTCTCTAGTTGCCAGTCTTAAAAATCCATAGCAAAAAATGGTCCTCCAGAGGGAGGATTTTAGCACCCTCTGGGAACCAGGTCTTAATTGAATTGCTTTCCCTCTGAGGTGTACCCACCCTGAGGGAACACTGCCTATAACTGCCAGGACAGGATTATCTGCACATCTCCTCTTCCCAGAGGAAGGGGAAGGGACCTGGAGCAGCACACCCAGGACAGCCCCTGGGATGGCACCCATGAGGGTCTAGAACTCCAATCTTCCCCAGAGATGTTCTGGTCCAATGAGTGGGTCAAGTGCATACCCTGTGCTGGGCAACATGGGTTTGCCCAGTGGAGTTGCTCAGCTGCTGCCTTACTTTTAGAGTGAGTGGAAACCACAGCTGGAAACTGCCAGCCCATAGCAGGCACATAGACAGGTCTGGTGAGTCCCCAGGCTATCTTTAGTATTGTTTATGATTGTGGTCCATATTTAAGATTCTGAAGGTTTCTATATTAAAATTCTATATTAAATTCTATATTAAAAAATATACACTGGCCTGCTTGGCAGTGTAGCGGCTGCTTCCTTCCGTGGGAAGTGACCTCCCGGTCCCCCACTCCCCATTGCTCACCTCCCCTGCTTAATGCAGACATGTCACCAGCATTAAATTGCTGCCCCGATTTCCTTTCACCACCCCAGAGGGAGACAGGAACAGAAGCAGGAACAGAAGCAGGAAAAGGAGGTTAAGGCTGACAGAAGCAAGCAGTGCCAGGGGAGGCAGTGAGGGTAGCCTTTAAGGAAAGTGTACGTGAGATTTGAAGCACAAGTGGAATTTGAACAATTAATTGACTTGTCATGGGTGAGTGGGCTGCATGTTCCTTCCCTGCTAACAGCTGTTCTAGCTTAAAGAATCCAGAACTTGGAACTGAACCATGTGGATTCAGATCCTAGCAAGGCTGCTCACTATCCAGGGTAGTCTGAAAATGCTCCATTCTGTGTAGGGCACATTTGCAGGACCAGGATGGGTAGAGGTAGAATCGGCTCCACCTGCAGCTCTGCCTTCCTCTCCTGATCACCCTCATATTCAAAGGATCCTCTGAAACCAGGCCCCATAATAACCCCTCCTTATGGGTGCTGAAGTGAAGATAGAGGATCAGACTTAGGATGCTAACTGGCAACCCGTGCCGAGGCCAGAGCCAGGCTTGATCTACCAGCCCGAAGCCCCAGCCCTCCACCCAGAGTCCTCAGAGAAGCAGAGAAAAGTGTGGAAGCGCCTGACCAACTGTCAAGAGTGCCCTTGTGCTTGAAGTGCCTTCCCCCAGGGCACAAGGATCACAGCAAGGAAATGAAACCCACAGAAAGGCAAGAGAGGCAGCTCTGGAAAGAGGAAAGCAGGAAGGAACACACAGCAGGTAGCAGGTACCTGAAGAGAAAAGCTGATGGTTTGGTTTGGGTCTTTGTGCAGATGCAAACTGGTGCACAGATAAAAGAAACCAGCCACAACCATTCAAGAGATTATAAACTAACTACAGTGGTCCTCAAACTCCACACACAGTCAGGGAGTGCCACTTCCCAGCTGGTCTCATATTCTGGCTAATAGAGTTATCAGATCAACATAGCCACATCAGTTCTTAAGAAAAAAGAATGTAGTAAAAATGCATCCTATTTTTCTACTACATTAGTGTGAGGCACCAGAATAATCCTCATCTGACGCTGAAAAGGTTTCCTGTCTTCACCCTCCACATGGCCCCAAGGAATGACTCCTAGCTGAGCTGTGCCACCAGGTCTCCAATATGGCTGCTGCCAGGTACAACCATTTAAGTTTAAATTTAATTCAAATGAAGTGAATCTTCAAATACCACCCTCAGTTTTACTAGCCTCACTTAGTGCTCAATAGCACCAGTAGCTCTGCAAAGGCTGGTGAGCAGGATTCAGGGATTTCCTGGTCCACTGGCCACATCCCACCTAATCATACCCCAGAAACCCAATAGCATCCAACGATGGAGGCACGTTCCAGGATATGGACCTGGGGAAGTAGAGGTCACCTTTCCAGAACATTTATATCGATACAATGCTATCGGTGGCCAGAGGCATCCCACTAATTAATTCACTTGTTTATCCATTGGCTGTTTATTAAATGCCTACTGTGTGCAAAAGCACTGTGTCTTCATCTCCAGTGGGGAGATGTAGAAATAGTCAAACACCTTTTGTGCCCTCAAGAGTTTATCACCAATAAATAAATAAATAAATAAATAAATAAATAAATAAATAAAATAATTTTTTTTAAAAAAACAGTTTATCACCAAGGGAGGGAGAGGACATGCTACCACATATTATCCCAGTGGGGCAGAGTAACAGAAGTGCTTGAATGTACAAGAAAAATACTAAGAAAGTAATTGTTTCCACTGAAGAAATCTGAGAAACTTCACAAGGGATGTAGCTACTAAATACTCCCGTGATAGAATGAGACGGATTTCAGTAGTGGCGGATGGAAATACATCACAGTAACATGGGCAAAGGCTCAGAGAGCCATGAGACCACCTGTGTTCTGGAGCATTTGCAGTGGGGTACTCGAGAAGTGTAGTGGGGGTCAGCTCTCAAAGGAGGGGGCTCAGAGGAAAGGGCCTTGAGCCACTGTGATGAGTTTGAACCTGCTTGTGGGCAGTGGGGAGCACTATGGGTGTCAGGCACTTCATCACCTGATCAGATGGCCCAGGGAAAGGAGCTACATGGGGTACAGGGTGTGAATCTAAAGGCAGAGAAGTATTGGTTATTAGATCCTGGTTAATAGGCAGCTTATAGTTTGCAGAAGTGCTTGTGAGAAGCAGAAAAGGGCAAGTGTTGGTGAAAGAGCACTTCCCTAGTATATCCGAGGCCCTGCACTGTAAGAAGGAGGAGGGCCTTACAGAGGGTTGGGAGTCCTTAATCTCTCTTTTTTGCTATCTGGGAGGATCCTGTGTATAACCTTTAATCCTGTTCAGTTCAGCAATGAATCTAGCAGCAAATATCCCGTGCTGCCTAAGCAATGTACTGTTTCTCTAATTACCCAGAAGTTTCCATTTCTCAGAGTCAAGCAGTTGAATAATTGGCATTTGCTAAGGGCCCCTGCAGAGAGCTGTGCAGGTGAGAGACGTGGACTCAGGTCTGTGAGGGGCCAGCACACCTGGCTGCCAGCCCGGCTCTGCCCACACAGCCCACCACTCTGGTCCCAAGCCATGTGTTCTTCTGTGTATGTATCGCCTTTGCTCCCTGGAGGTCAGGAGATGAAAGTCATGGGATGCCAGGTCACCTGCTTCTCTTGAACCCCTTCCCTCAAGTCTGTGGCACTCGGCATGCCCTGGAGGCCATTAGCACCTCTTGGGGAATATTTAACTGAAAACAATTTCTAGTTGGGATCTGTTATAATTACTAATTAGATCTGATGATAATTATCTCTCACTGCCATCCCTTACCTGACACACAGAGTAGTGCGGATGCCTTGAGACAATTAGCAACAAGTCTTCCTGATACACGAGCTGATTAGGAACACAATTGCAGGGTCGGGAAGAGCCTGGCTTATTAAAGGGAGGCCGCTGTTTACCAAGGAATGTTGTGAGCAAATTAGATTAAATTAATGAGGAGGGAACGTGGGGGTGAGGAAATGGACATTATTTTCCTTTTTGTCTCAGTTGATGACATCACTGAGGGGAGTTAGATTCCCCTTTGTGTTCCCATTCTGGAACCTCAGTCTTTCAGGGTTTGATAGCCACCCCAGTTCTGCCCCCTTTTAACTCAGCCAACCCCATCCAGACCATATGATGCAGTAGACCTAGTGAGCAGAACTACTAGCTGGATGACTTTGGACAGCTAGTCACCGTGCTCTGAGCCTCAGCCTTCTCATCTGTAAAATGGGAAGAACACCCTTCTGTAAGCCACACACCTGAGCTGGCCGCCAGGCTCTAGGGATGTTAGGAAGGGGCTGTGTGTGTGCAGCAGGGGCCCACAAGCCTACCGAGACCAGAAACCATGGATTAGGCACCGTGGAATCTCTGGGTTCAGCCCCAGGCTCGACTCACAGTGCTTGGTAATTGCCTGGGGAACCACACTTAACTCCCACCCAGGGACAAAGCAGGGGCTCCTTCTCCCCCAAGGGCAGCAGCTACAGAATCGAGGCCCCCTGCAGCGGGCCAAGCCTAAGTGGGTGCTCTTACCTCTGCACACACACCACTGCTTCATCCGGGGAAGAAAATGAGCGACTTCTCCATCACCGTGGTTCACCATGAGGATGGAAAGCTGGGGACCAGCTGTGCAACCCCGGGAAAGTCAGCTAGCCTCTCTGAGCTTGAACATCTCTGTCTATGGAGCGTTCTCTGTTATCACTGATCCCAGCTAGAACTGGAACTGATACAGAGAGAGCAGTGTAGCCATTGTGCAACTGGTCTGGTTGCTATGGGCTGGACGATGGGGTAGGCAGGTCCTGAACTATGATTCAGCCACCCAAATTATCAGGAAGGAATAGCTCTGACTTGCTGCATACTGGTTATGGGGAGCACAGGCACCAGGTACACAGAAAACCACCCCTCTTTGTCATTTCAGTGTAAAGAGAAACACACACACACCGCCCAGCAAGTCTTGAGCACAGCCACATGCATAGTACTTGCGTGCCCCTCTGTAACAGATGGTAATTTAGGCAGCTACTCTGGCCAAGTATTGGACCCCACTATCTGAAGGATTTCCAGAGGAAGACAGAGAAAACTCCTAGGGGCCTCCCTGGGGTGGGCCGCCCATTGCTACGATCACCCAGAAGTGCTTCTTGGAGACAGGACAGGTGGAGGAACTAAGCAATGGAATAGTGGGGGACTCTTGGAGTTTTCTGGACTTTTCATTCCCTGGCCTGGGTTGCTAGATTTGCCTCCTTCCTGCCTTTTCTGAAGTCTTTCTTCCCAGCGGGCTTTGGTGGAGACAGGAAGCCAAGATTAGCCCTCCTCCCTAGACACAGCCAGACTTATCCTCCCCTGTCAAGGCCCCACCGCAGCTCCCAAGCCTGGCACGGTGGTCTTCCTTCCTATTGCTCCATCACACCTGCCGCTCACTTTGAACTTCACTAAAGACTTGGATTGTCGTACGTAAAGTGAGTCAGAAGGGATGACAGCTCCAGCCCTGAAGTCATCATCAGAATTCCTACACCCTAGTACCAGCCTCTCCACTTGTCAGCTATGTGCCTCTGTCCAAGTCACTTGGCCTCTCTGGCCCTCAGTCCTTTCATCTATAAAATGAGAATTAAGAATTCGGTACAGGGGGCCAGGGATTTAGCTCAGTGGTTCCGGCACCTGCCTCACAAGCCCAAGGTCCCGAGTTCAATCCCCAGGACCAAAAAAGAACAAATAAGAAATCAGTACTTGCCCCACCTGTGCTCAAGGTAATGGAAAAGAGAAAGACACATATGCACAGGGAGGTGTCTCCCGCACAGCTGAGTGCCTCGCCACTCTCTGAGCACAGGTACTTTCGAGGACTGACTGGTCATTTCTGCAAATCTGCCTGCTCGTCCACTGCCACACAATGACTTGCGCCTGAACTCTGGCTTTAGAAAGCAGGAATCATGTTTCAGCTCTCACAGTGTCTGCAGGTCGGGAAGCTGAGTTCAGCTGTGCTGCCCAGTTCTGGCTGAGGTTGTCTCTGCTGTCAGGTGGAGGCGGGGCTGGAGCCTCTCAGGGCCCCTTTACTCACCTGCCTGCTGCCTGGCCCTGGGAGACAGGAACATCAGGGATAGCACTGCTGGATCTCGCCGTCTCCGTGTGCTCGCTCCAGCTGCAGGGTAACTGTGCTTCGTACGCAGCTACTCACAGCCTCTAAACGCATTTGCTGTCACTGCTGGCAAATGTCACAAAAAGTATGCTGTTGTCCCCTCGGGTGCCTAGGCCACTGTGGTGTTCTACCTCCTTTCAGACATGTAGACAAGCCGTCCCGAGACGGGTGGGCCTTGGCCTCAGCCCATCTACCCAGCCCCAGCAGCCCTCTGCACGTGGGAGCCCCTGCCCTGCCCTCTGCATCACACAGCCTGTTCTGGTGGCTCTCACCAGCCTCGGTGTCTTGTGGCATCTGCCAACCCCACACCTCGTCTCTGTCCTCTTTGTAGAGTTGCTCTGTGGGGACTTGGGGAAAGTGAGCATAGGAGCAAGGGCAGCAGATGCCTTTTCTGCCTCTGCTGGGCCTTGCGGAGCCAGGGATTTAAGAATACGGCCCACCTCCCTGCACTCCAGATTCTCAGAGACTAAGCCTGCTCCGAACTGTGGAGCCATGGATGTCAGAGCTGGAGAGGCGGGGCTGGGGTGGGGGTTCCCATACAGGAACAGGCTGCGAGGGGGCTCTGAGCCTCAGCGCCCACAGCCGTGTGCTCCAGCCTCACTCACCTTCCCCCGGGTGTTTGCACATGCCTGATTCTCTCTCACCTTCTTCTGCATGCCAGACTCCTCACTCTCCACCTGCCTCACCAGCTCCACAGGCCCCTGCCCTGGTGCCAGCACTGACCACACCGGACTAGGCTCCGCAGGTCTCTTCCAGAGCTGGACGGTGTCCCCTACCACCAGGACCATGTCTCCCCGCTGTCTGGGTCTCCAGTGCCCAGGCCATGCCCAGCAGACAGCATACTCATGAGGGTCACTGGACAAATGGGCAGCCACCATGGTGACCTGCAAGCTAAGGGCACTTCCTCTCAGTAGCAGTGTCCACCAAGTTTTGGAATCTATACCTGCTCTGATTGACAGGGAAGATGAGGGAGTCCTCAGAGAGAGGCTGCTCAGAGACCGGAGAGAGACTAGAAGGCTCAACCTAGCAGGCTTTCCTTTGCTCCTTCCCTGCACCAGCTTCCCCCACCCTCCATGCCTGCCTTGAACAAATCAATCTTCCTTAGCCTCAGTTTTCTTAGCTAAAAACTGGGCATAATAGTCTCTGCCTATCTAAAAATGTTGTTATGAGGGAAATGAGGTGGTGAGTGCTGACTGGCAAAGTGCTTTATAAACCATAAAGTTCTGAAGCGAAGTTGGAAGCTGTCTCAGTAGTGTACTGGAGGCGTCGGTGAGAGCCAGCGGTGCACCTCTCTTCCCAACTTTGTGCTCAGTGACAACACGCTAGTTAGTAGCTTGGAATTGGCCATACTGGGAGTATTTCACACCACAGAAACTGGCAAATGCTGCAAGTCAGAATTGGGTTCGGGGGCTGGGGATTTAGCTCAGTGGTTCCAGCTCCTGCCTTGCAAGCGCACGGTCCCAAGTTTGATTCCCGGAACCAAAAAAAAAAAAAAGAAAAGAATTGGGTTCGGTTTTGTCTGAGAAGCAAATTCAGCAGAACAGCATTGGCTGAGCACCTCTCCATGCCCATGAGAGACCTGAGGTATGTCATTGCACCTTGCTGAGTGCCTGCTCCTAGCTGTGAAAGAGGAATGTACATTCCTTCCTGTCACCACTGCTCAAAAAAAATAATGGAAGTGCCTCAACCACCTTAACAAAGCCAGGCTGGAGGACCCCCAAATGTGAGCCATCATTGTTCCCAGTTAATGTCCTTTATTATAACCATCCATCACAAAATAAGCAAGAACAGTGCCTGAGCCGTGACTCACACATGGAACAGTGCCCAGCTGCCTCCCGGGGACTGGGCCAGCTTGACCCTGACAGAGAAGGCATCATGGGGTCCCAGAGCTGCCCTGCCGCCCTGAGGACTGGAGTGGGGGGTCGGGGCTCCCTGCTCTTCCCTGACTCAAGCATGCCCCAGGCATCTTGCTATACTACTGTGGGCCTCTGGGGTCCTGACAGCCTCCCTCTGGGGCCAAGAGGGTGGAATACGATCCCACCTGTGAAAGCTACCAGAAGAGCAGGGAGAACTTAATTCCCAGGGGGCACCCTGGGGTACAGAGGGGGCCTTCAACCAGGGCCTGTGTGAAGACTTATCTAAGCCCTGCTGGGACATAAGCCCACCCCAGATGTGCACTGGGTGAACAGAGACCAAGTTAGAAAAAGGGCTTTGCCCACTATGTTAAGCCAGCAGGGGCTGGGCTATTTATATTAAACAATCACTGTGTGCCACCCTATTTGAGGTACTTTGAAATGTAACAGTGAACAAAACAAAGACTCTTCTCACGGAGCTTCTGCCAATAAGAGGAGATAGACAGTAAAGCAATAAACACTATAATGTTATGAGTGCCATAAAGCCAATCAAAGCAGCACAAGGACAGAGGTACAATTCTCTAGGCCTCTTTAAGTAACGGAACCAAAGTCTAAAGACAACAACGGAGTGAGCCCAGCAGACATGTGAAGGGCATTATAGAACAGAGCTCTAGCAAGTCCAAGGGCCCTGAGGCAGGATGATTGTCATTAGCAGCACCAGCAAGGAGGCCTATGTGACATAAAGAGAGCACAGAAGCGAGGCCAAAGGAAGCAGAGGGCTAGATCTTACAGAAAGAATCTCATTGCTCCTGATAACTTTGGATTTGACTCTGCATAAAGTAGCACCAGAAGCTATAGGCAAAAGTGTGACACAATATGAAAAAGAACAGCATGGCCCAGTGGTCAATGCAGGAAACCTGGGAAGCAGTGCAACATATTAATGCAGGCAGCAGTAGCTGGAACTGAGGCAGTAGAATGCAGGTGTTGAGAAATGATGAGATCTGCATAGATTT